ATAAAACCAATATATTATTCATTTGGAAGCTGCTGTATTCCTTAAAAGGGAGGTGGGGGAGAAGGAAGCAGACCCTGCTCTAAAACTTTAAAAGCTTCTCATAATTCAAAAGAGACTGACAATATTTTCACATGTTTTCTGTCTTGTCATTGCTACAGACTATACATCTAAGACATTTCTAGAGATAATGGAAGAAGCTGGGCAATTATGTCTCTAACTCAAGCCTCACATAGCAGGCTGTAGTGCAAAGCCTTTCTATAAGAAGAACTGCAAGGGACTGAAAAATACACGTTGATAAAAATCAAAACCACTTCAGTTGCATAGAAGGAGATGAATGCATGAACACAATATAGAAAGAGGTGTATCTACTAGCCCAGTGAAAGCTATCCGCTGACCCATAACCTTTTATTCTAGTGGATTTTTCCGCAGTTAGTTCTCACAGATTGCTTGGAAAGCATCCATGCATTTCCGGTTGTCTGCAAACCTACACACAGCGCAGAGGAGGGAGGAAGACCCAGAAACCATCATGCAAGAATATCTGACATTGCCTTCATGATGAGGGAGTCCCACAGCAAAAACACAGCACAGCCTTCAGCAATGATTAAAGCACTCATGAGTTTTGGCTGCTTTGGCATGATGGATCATACTTTGAGGTTTCTTTATTTATTGTTTGAAAGACACTACATCTGGGAAGAGGGTAATTATGGCAAACTGGAAATGGACTTTGTTCGCTGCGGGAATTTAAATGGAGCTTTTTCTCCTTCCTTACACTAAAAGGTTTTAAACGTTTTGCCCAGGAAGCATGTTCTGCCACTTACATCAGTTTAGTGGGATGAGCCATGGGTGCAAGCCTAGAGTCTTTGCAGCCTGCAACTCACTGTAAATTTTACACAGAATCACAGAGTGGTTGAGCTTGGAAGGGACCTCTAGAGATCATCTAGTCCAACCACCTTGCACAAGCAGGGACACCTAGAGCATGTTGGTTTAAGACCTGAAACAATGGTCTCCTATGAAAAAGAAGGTATTTTGGAAGAAAAAGTTACCTGGCAGAACTACTTATTCTGCAGTAACAATGGGCCAGCAACAATGAGTAAGAAAGAGCAACATGTAACAAGCTATTATGGGACTACCACCAGAAGATGCTTCCACTGAAGAGTCCCGAACTCACCTGGAAGAACTGGATGGAGAGGGGAAGTCTCAAGACATCTATATACAGGAGAAAAAAAGGTCTATGCATCAAAATGGTTTAGTGCTATACTCTTACTGTACTTGCTGGGTGCAGATAGCGGATACAGAAGCCTTTTAAAATATTTATTTCAAGAAAACACAGGAGCAGATCAGATGCTAACATTTATTTTTATTTATAAAAAAATTATAGAATGTATTAAATACAAACATTTGGAAAAAGCACTCAGGGCCTCACTAGGATGCCCAGGAAGAGGAAGACAGAGAATCAAGAAGCTTACCAGATTTAGTTTTTAACTAGCTGAAGTACTATAATTTTTCACCGACTTTATTTATAGACAGTGACCATTATAGCAGCCAATGTTATTACTCTACTTTTCTTTTTCTTTTTTCTTAAAAAGATACGATTTCCCATATCTTCCCTACTAACCACAAAATGTAAGGAAGCAACTCTTTCCAGGTTAAAAACGAGGGTAATAAATACTAATGCATTTACCCATTACCTACATAGAATAACACTAAAGCATTTGCTTATAATCACACATGGTTATCAAGTTTACAAAAAAAAATTCTTATACATTTCAGATCTGGATATCCAGTAAGGTATTACAAACTTTATACATTTTCCAGTGGACATCATAATGAGGACAGTGTTTTGAAGCACAGAAACACAAAATAACTGAACACGTTGTCTACACTATATACGCCAACTACTAAAATGTGGACTGGGGTCTAGTCATATTCCAGATATCTGTAAAGTCCTACAAACTGCCACTGAAAGCCTGGTTGGAAGACAGACCATGTCATGTTCTTGGGCAATGGTAGCGCCTCTCCTTTTCTAGGAAACCAACTGTAGACGCTGTTTCTTCTGCAGTTTAAGGTGCTAAACGAGTAAACTCTGCTTTCCCGCTCCCTAGGTAGACAAAACCAGATGCAAGTTTTCTTAGCAAGCTGTTGCTCTTTTACCACTCTCAAATATATATAGCCAACTAAATGAGATCTAGGAGCAAGTAACTGCAGAAAATACCTTCTCTTGTTTTAAGAGAGAAGTGCTTCTACTTGCTAACAATATGGCACCCCTCTGTCTTCCTGGCTTACCCTGTATCTGCTCTCCAGTTGCAGCATAATGCATGTTGTTGATGTGGCTGTATAGCCTTAAAGCCTGTTTCTGGGAATGACTCTTTGGGGATTATCTAACTATTAAAAGTAAAAATCCATCAGAGAATAATCCTAGACACATGAACATTAACAGATGTCTCCTGTTCTGTCTTGTATTTGCCAGAATGGAAAAAAAATAATTACCAACTCACAATTTTACTACTGCAAGGACAGAAGAGGACTGACAAAAATGTCTACGCACTACCTACCACCATCATCAGCCAGCGACAGAACGGCCTGACTGGATACCTACAAGTGCCTTGGCAGAATCCCATCCTTTAGGGCATGGGCTGAAATTACACTGTGGATCCTGTTTCGAGGAGAGAGCTGAACAAAGAACCAACATCCTGAACTTGATGACACAGGATGCGGAATCCATGTGGCAGACCCTGTTACCGAAAAAAATATTTCTTACTGTGTCCACAAAAGCTTGTGACCCTCTCACAAAACACAGAGGGCACTGCCAGGTCGGGCATGGCTGTGCTGAAACTCTTCAGCAGCCAACTATTTGCAGACCAGCATCTTTGAGGGAGGAAAAAGAGAAAGGGGCTGGGGGAGAAGCAGGCAAATACTTCTCTCACTGACGAGACACAGAGCATGTCTGCTGAACACCCCAAGCAGGCAGCGATTCATCGAGCTAGGAGCTTGGGAGCAAACACAGCGTAACTGCCAGCGCCATTCCCAAGCCCAACTGCATCTCTTACTGCAACACATGTCTAATTATCCTCCTCTCAGCTGTGCTCAGTACGCTTAATGAATGCACTTAGTGCAATGAGAATTACGATACAGCTGGGAATCAGATAAAATACTAAGGCTAGTTCCATCCATCCCCTTTTTTTTTTTTTTTTTAGCTTTTGGCAATAACAGATTTGTAAGATCCCTATTTTGCATGATCTAAAATAAATTTTGGAAGATTTTTAACAAGGCTGAGGCTTATTTGACCCAAAAAGCCTCACCCACATTCAAAGAATTCACTGTTATTCAAAGCAAGGATGGGAAAAAGAGAAACAAAAAATCACAAGAGGATTTAGTAAAAAGGTGGAAGGTCACAGTACCAACAGTACTGACAGAGATGACAACAGTCTATTTAGTGTGTTGACTGCCTCACAGTCTCAATACTCAGTTTTTAGCACTATATACACCATATATTTAAAAAGTTAGATTTTTTTTATTTATTAATATGGCTGTTTGGAATTTTTTTTGAAGCTTCAAGAAAAATAAACTCTTCATCTTTAGAGTCAAAGACAAGAGACCAAGACTGTGGCATTAATGCTACCCTCCATTACCCCATCAGAAATCATTACACTTCCCAGAATCTCTAATTTGAAGCTACAGTCTTTGAAACATAATACATTTAAGTCACTCAATGGCTTCATTCCAGACATACATCAGGTTAACAACAGCAGAGTATGGCCCCTAATTTAAAATATATTCTACAAATGAACAGCTATAAATCTGACTGCAGCAAAACATATAGTGGTTCTAAAACGGCAGAAAGTTAAACTCAAACATCTGGATTTTTAAACAAGTGAGAAATACGGATAGTTTTAAAAGGAAACAATAAACTTCTCAAACACAGACATATGTGAAACATACATGTGCGCACACACACACACACACAGAGCCTCTCTCTCACACACACACGCTTCACTCAGAGTGAAATTAAGATTACACAAGGCAATTTTCAAGGTTGCATTTACAACCACAATGACAAGAACAGCATTTTTGAGGTAGCTAAAGTCAAAGAGCAAACCACAAGCAAAGAAACAGGCGCTCACACTCACACCCAGCCCACTCTTTGGAGACATGTTATCCTGTGCACACAGGTGTGTGTTGAAGAGGCACGTGTTCCACAGGTAATGCTGTTCAGTGGCACTGGAAACCTGAAAAACTCCTCTCCAGGGGAGTTTCTGTTGGGAGACCAGATTCACAATCAAGTGGCCAGGGCTTAAATCAGTGCACATCAGCTGAGCTGTGCTAACAGTCTCAGTGCTCTCGGTCTGCGCCAGTTCTACCAACAGCTCTGTCTCACGTGCACTGAAGCAAGTACAACTGTGGCAGTTGAAGATGTTATTACTCAGAGCTGTCTGTCCCACTTCTCCCCTAGCTGCTACTGCTGATAGAAAGGGACACGCACCCGTATCTCACCTGCTCCAGCTCAGAGCTCAGCATTCAGGTAAAAGCCCATCTTCGTGGCATTATTGGCCAATGGATGCTGAATTGGAGCAGCAGAGGCACAGACTCAAATTCCTTTCTTCAGGCACAACAGCATCTTCATGAACAGGGCAGAAATGTCAAACTGCCACAGCTTGAATCACCAGAGCTCATTTCTCAGAGCCCTTTGCTAGCCTGCAACAAAAGGAGCTGAGCTAATCTCATGGCAAATGCCAAGCTACATGGGCATAAGAGGGTAATTAGCTGTGGCTGACAGACTGGCTCAGCCTCAGGAACTTGATCATGTTTCTGAGCACACATAGAGCTTGATGCTGTCCAAACTATAAAACTGTGTCAAATGCACTCATACACACACATATAATGTCGTATTGTCAACGAGAAGCTTTCTACAAATTGACTGTTTGCATGATTACTGCTGGGAGTCTTGAAGGTAGGATGGCGAGATGTTTTTCAACAAGTAGAAGGAAAAAGAAAACAAAAAAGATATTTAACTTTTTATGACTAGGTCTCTGTTGTGTAGTTGTTGTATGACAGAGATGGCACAGATGAGAAGTTGTTATTCCACTGTCTTCCCCCAGTACTCTGCTGCAACTCTGCCTGCTCTTTGTATTTGCTCAGAAGATTTTTGGCTTCTTGCAGATCCTGACAGGAATTTTCACCGTATTCTTGTTTCAGCCACTGCCTGAACTGGAGAAATTGAACACACAGATATGACATGATGAAATAACAACATGAGATGGATGCAGAAATAATTCTCCCTTTTGCACTACAGAGATACTACTTAAGGACCCATAAGAACAAAAACAAGCTAACAAAAAACACTCCCAAGTTTCTCATGTCCTTCAATAGCAGCACAGAATATGTTGGCACAGGAACACAGCGTCACGGAGGTATCTACTTCCGTAACATGGCACGCTTGAAAAAGAGCATGGCTGGCTGGAGTAACACAGGGTAAGGAACACCCACTGGACAAGGACATCTTAGACTCAGGAGCGCCCTCCTCCATTTGCAGTTTCACCTACAAATGAGTTGTGTAAATGCTGCAAGCTCCTGCAATCAGGCACTTTGTCCAAGTCACGATAGGATGCAAGATCTTCAGAAGGATGAGGATCATAAAAGCAAACCACTCATATTGCTGTTCCCTCCTGAACCAATAAGACCAGTAGTAAAAACTGCACTGTAGATACTGAGAAAAGTAACCTTTGGAGGAAAAAGGCCATGAGCTTTAAAAGATATAAGACCCTATATATTACTGATATGAATGATTGAATATGGTATATGGTAACAGCTGTATCAGGTCCATCTGAAGTAAATGTCTAGGAGGAAATGCAGTGGTAGGAGAAGCATACTGAGAAGTTTGTGATCCCAGCTTCCAGCAACTTTCAGCTCAAGCATTTTTGGAGGCTGAATCAGTATCTCCGTGTTTCATAGCAATAAACAGATTTTTCTGCCATGAGATCACTTTCTGAATCCACCTTTTTTTGCCACTAGATGTCTGGATACCACCAAGCTTCGCAGTTGAACAACATATTGCATTAAATATGCACCTCCTTTTTTTTAGGGGAACCATCACTTGACAGTTCCATCTCACTCCCCCCTCATTATGGGGAAGAGTGGAAACCATATCTGCTCACCTCTTTATTCCACTCAACTTTTTAGACCTTTATCATTTTCTTATCTGTCATTTCTTTCTCATCTGAAGAATTTTAGTCCATTTAGTTATTTCTGACAACCTTGTTGCTCTTCTCTGCAGGAGAAGCAAGTAGACACAGACCCTCAACTGTTCTGTATCAGTGGGGATATCATTTTGTGATAATATTTCTAGCCTCACCTTCCATAGCTTTGGGGCTTGTTTTGGGATAATTTAGTCCATAAAGATCCATAGGGACATTGGGAGACAAAACCTTTGCATGGTTACTTCCTCCCCCACCCATAAAAGATTATAAGGTCATAAATCAAATCCGAAGCCTCAGGATGGATGAATGGAAATTTGAGTCAGGATGGATGAATGGAAATTTGAGTCTGCTGCAAACCATGTTAGGACCGTATGGACTAAATCCCTCCCTGTGAGATCAAAATCTATGGGACCTCATTCCAGAAATGCCCTAGGTGCCATAGTATATAGGCATAGCAAAGCACTCGTGGTGCTACAATCAGAAAAAGTTCATGCCCTTGGCAGGTGGCACAATTCCACTGAAATCAGGTGTGCAAACGGACACCTGCTAAGGATGTGGTTGTTATTAAGAGACAGTAGGAAATTACAGCCCAGCCAGTGACCACAGGTGGATATTTCTTTTTGCAACTACTGCCTCCCCCTCAGTGAAAGAAGCAGAATGCCCCTCCAACGTGGATAAAAAAAAAGAAGAGACGTTACTGTCTTTATCAGGCTATTTGCATATAGCCTTAATTGTCATTGCAGTTTGCCCAGACCAATTAGAATAGAAATGACTGTAAGGGAGGAAGGAGACAAGTCTGGAAAGTCCCCCTCTGACTTCTGTCTCTTAAAATCAGTTACTCCCCAATTTACACCAGTTCCAAACGATCCAGGAAACATTCAGTTAAGCATTAAAAAAAAAAAAATAGTCAGCAACTGCAGCAAAAAAAAAAGCAGGAATACAGGCAAAAAAAACTTTTTTGGTTCATTTATATATTTAGCTTTCCAGATTCTGTTCTTCTGTTATTGCTGTTGATTTCTTAATAAGTACAATCCAGGAAAGCTAAAAGAACAATAGCATGCTGAGCAATGGAAAAATAGAGGGGACAGCCAGATTAGGAAGTTAAAATTAAAAAATAGTTTCTTTCCCCATAGAAGAACCATCCTGCATAAAAGATCTGTTCCCTGGGGGTGCCTAGTTACTTCCACTTATGTTAGAAAACCACTTCACAGCCTTATCATTTGTCCCTCAGTCTTCATAGCCCTAAAAAGCTACTAAAGACCAGGGAAAAAGAGCCAGACCTGAGACTGCCTTATGCAACAAAATATTTACTAAGGTCCCAGCCACAGAAGGTACCAGTGGGGAGAATGTAAGTTAATTAGAACCTAGCTTAACTCCTGGACAGAAAGGGTTTCTGATTATGGCCCACAAATCATTTCTTTCTTGCTTACTATTCCAAGGGAATGTGGGGAAAAAAATACTTATATGCAATTCGTACTTGTAGCTTGGTCTTGCTGCTTCATTCTGCACTACTCATTCTTCACTTTTTACCCTTCTGAATGTTTCAGCCTTTTATGCATTATGTCTTCAGCCCACATGAGGGACTCACAGAATTGAGAGCACAGAGGAAGAGAGGGAGGTGTGCTTGGCTGCTGTGATTTGTCTCTTCTCTCATCCAGCATTCCTGACATCTTCAGGGCCAGCTGTACCTTGCCAGTGGAGCAGGCTTACCTAAGAAACCATTCCCTTGGAATAAAGAAGGGCCACACAGACCGCTCAGGATAATGAAGAGCAACCCTTGAACTGCCTTGAGATTGTATTTCTCAGTTCCTTGGCTTGTCATTCATTTACCTGATTAACATCATGTTTTTCGAACTCCTGTAACTGCCTCTGGAAGCCCATGTTTGGATTCGCACAGGACCTCGCTGCTCGGACAACGGACAGCGCGTCTTCCCAACCAAAGTCTGTGATGGTCATGATGTAGGCAACGACCAGCGTTACACTCCTGGAGACACCTGCAAGGCTGCGTGATAACAAAGGTGCAATAAACAGATGAAGGACAACACTGCTTCAACTGAAGTTAAAAGCATCACTTTCCAATACCACAGCAGGCTGCTGTGCTACTTACCGTCATGAAGAAGCATTACTATATTCGTGTCAAAGTGGGTTTTGCTACTGCATTTTCATATGCTTCAGAATAAATGTACAAGATCAAGAAAGTGGATTCTGAATGTTAACTCAAGTAAGACTGGTAAGGAAGGAAAAAGTAACAAGTTTTCATAGGAGTGGAGGGCAGAACATGTGTCCTTAATTAGATTTGATTTTTTACTAAGCTAGAAATAACACACCCACTTTTTTTGCCTATACACATCAGAGCAATAAGACTGTATTCTTCACCACCATGAATTTCATCTCCAGTTCCATAGGGCTGAAAAGAACTTTAAATGTATTGTTAAAGCACAGTACTCTGGATGTTTGAGTTTTTTTCCTCTTTCTACTGCCCGTGCACTGTGCAATTTCAGCTCTCCAGACTCCAATGTCATTACCTGACACCCTGGGATAAAGTAAGAACCATTTGTTTGGCTGTCCTGAACAAACAAACAAAGAAAAAAATCCAGCTATAACTATTATGAGTGTAAATAATGTGTTTGGAATACATTGGTATTGGGTATACCTTTCCCTTGGCATTTCCAGAACATTTTATGCCTCTGCAATGCTGTAGAGGTATAAAAAAGCTTTTTAAAAATGCTCTCAAGACTCAGACAAATTATCCCCATTTTGCCTATCTGTCTTCAGCAGACTGGCTAAATGACTCGTCCGCAGCCCTGTCATGAGTCAGTAACAAACTGAGGATTCCTGCTAAGGGCCTGCACACAAGTTCAGCGTTCAAATCATGAGATGACTGACTCCACATAAAGATTCAGATATGTCAAAGGACTACAGCCAATAGCAAAGAGCAAGGAAGAAAAAATAGAAGAAAGAAAAAGAGTGGGCTTTCCTTTTTTACTCTTTAAGGTCCCAGAAGCATCTTGTCAGTCAGGGACTTACTATAAAAACTGTAACATTTTAATGCTTCAGCAGTTCAAAGCATTAAAAAAAAACTGTTCAGTAGAAAAAAAATAACAATTCTGAAGTCCCTGAAATAGCTGTTAAAGGAACTGATCTAAACTGATCATTAGTATTTGATTACGAGAACCATCTTTGAAAAGACAGTGATTAACAGAAATGGAAAATAAGAAAGACCTCTCTAGTCAGAGAGACTTATCAAAAGGTCTGATTAGAGAGAAGATCTTAGGTTCTCTATGTCTTCTGGCAGCTGTCCAGTCCAGTGACTCAAGAATGAGGCTCTAATAGTACTTTTAAGTCTTTGAGGCTCTTCAAATACAAAAGAAACATTTCAGTCCAAAAGAATTTTGCTATAAAATTTCGATTAATGCTGACATCATTAAAATGGTGAACATCCAAATAAAGGCACACAAACTCTTACAAAGGTTCTTTTTAGGAATACATACCAATGAACTAGACAGCCTTCACCTGTAAGCCGGCATTCATGGATAAATTTGATGCTCTCTCTGAAATGCCTTGCCCTGAAAACGGAAACAGAAGGAGAATACAGAAAATGCTCTATTTAGTAAAATCACTACTTAGAAAAAGAGAAATGTACCTGAAAGCTCACTTAGTGCTGTTTCTAGAATTTAGAACTGAACATGGGTCTTAACAGGCAAAAGTCAGTATCTGACAAAAAAAAAAACAAACAAAAAGAAAAAGGCAAAAAAAGAAAAACAAAGCAAACAAACAAAAAAACCCAAAATACACATACTGCTGCTTGGTATATTTACACTCCAAATTACCTGAAGAAGAGATTGGTATCTTCAGCACTACAGTGTAATAAACATTAGCAAATGCTTTATTCTGCTGAGTGGCAAGGCCTTACTCCGGTCTCTGTTTCATTGACCATGCTCAGACAGAAGGTGAAACTCCCAGCGTGCACATGAACCAGCCCACAGGACACTGTCTCTCAAAAACAGGCATCCATTACCTGCCATCCAAACCTGGTTTGCAGAAGGAGATGAAGTCAAAGGCAACTCAGGTACCAGGACACATGTAAATCTTAAGTCTTTTTTCCTTTGCAGCTCAAAACTCTCTTTTTTGCCCCTGCTATGAAAAATCCTTGACAGAACCCCTGAATCCTTCAGCTACTTCAGTCTTAGATCTCAGTACCTCCCAAACTTGCTTAAACATCAACTATTTCTTGGCTTACTGCATTGGCTTCCTCAAATTCACCTATTATTAGCTGTAAAATTCCTCTCCTAGATGTTTTAGACCTCAGGCCCTTCTGCCTGCCCTTATTTTGGGAATCAGTCGCCCTGCCAACAGCCGACTTCTGGTTAAACAGCGTAGGAGACTATGGAGAGAAGATAAAGGCTCTGTTTATCAGTCGTACATCCTCTCAATGAGCCTTCACACGTTCCTCTTCAACTGGGGCAAACCCGAAGGAAAGGAACCAGCAGCCAAGAGCAAACATCACAGCAAACTTGCAACCTCACGTTTCTGCATGCCTGTCCCAGGTTGCTCCCCTTGCCCTTGCCTGCCAGGCTGCAAAGCCTTTGGGGCGGCCTGCAACTCGTTAGCGGTGCGAGGAGGAACTCCTCACAGTTCAGAGGAGTGCAGTTCGGCTGTGGCCTTCGAGCACTCGTGCAGCAATAGGATGAGTAGCGAGGTGTGCAGCACCCAGGCAAGACAGAGGGCTCCTCATGAGGCGCACGGTCGCAGGCTTGCTGGAGAAGACAAACCTGAAAGCACGCTCTACTCAACACCCATGAAGCGCAACGTCCTGTACTCAAGATGTTTCCCCTCTCTGAGTGAATATTATACCACAAAGATAAAAAACAAACCAACAACCGAGCAAACAACAACAGCAAAAAAAAACCCAAAAAACTCAGCCTCAACATGGTCAGCCACAGAAAAACCAGGAAGGCCCATGCAAAAAGGAAGCTTTCCTTCCTGTCCAAGAGGACAGCTGTTGATACTATGAACGTTCAGAGCTGATGGAGGACACAAGTAACGCGGTGGAGCTGCAGGGCCTGTGGAACCTGCAAAGGCAACGTGCTGCTAAGCTGATGTACCCAAACAGATGGAGACCAAAGCCCAGGACTCCCTCTGCAAGGCATTCCTTGCATCACTGAATATGATGAGGACAAAACAGTTGGAGAAGGCTCAAGGGTCTTATTTGGAATGTGATCGTCTGAGGAATGATAGAGTCTCTAGCTTTACAAGCCTTAAAAATGCATTTCCATTCAGCTGCTAACTGGACTGCTACTCCACAGAGTTTTCCATGGCTGAGTTGTAACACACGGGGGCCGCAGGTCTGCCTGTGGGTCACAAGCCGCTCCACAGAAATGAACTCAGGACAAATCAGTCTTCGGGATGCACGTACAAAAGCTGCTGCTATTGCACAATGATGGAGCACTTGTCCAAGACTAAAGGGATTTCACCAAAGGAAACTTGAGCAGCACCTGCCTGACCACACCGCAGGCTTCGTGGGCACCCATCCTCTTTCCTCTTTCTAGAAAATCTTGACAACAAGGCCTCTGCAAACACCAGTATATTCATTCCAAAGGTCTGGCATAAGTTTTGGTCAAATACTTCAATGCTTTAGGTTGAAAAGCGTCAGTGCGAGCACAGCACCTTGGCAAAGTGCTAAGCACAGGCAACCATGAGCTCCACTGCATGTTCTGTTCTGCCTTATCACTGGCACCCAGTTTGCTGAACACTGTGAAATGCAAATGTCTAAAGGCATTTATGAAAATTTACAAGAGAAATAGCCATGCTTAGCCATCAGAGTTTGCGCCACTTTGTGGAACGATGACCCCTCCTCACTTAACAGTCAGAACGGAGGAAAAATGCACTTTTCCACAAACTTTTGTGTAAGGATCTCTGCTGGCTCCAGCAGACACAGTTGCCTCAACCCATTTACAGGGTTATGGTACAAATGTACACAGGAGAAGAGGTTCTGAGGACCAGTTAACGGTGGCACAGACACATGAAAGAACAGCAAGTCTTGCATTAACCACAGAATAGCTGATCAGCATCTGTAACAGGAAAGCATTTGACAAATGTGCCAAATTATCTGTTATGTTAAACAGTTACTTCAAAACAATTTATTACAAGGTATCTGGCTTTTACATCGCAGCTTAAACTTGGACATCTTCTGAACTACTGCTCCTTCACAGTGGTAAATACCACGGGGAGAAGAATCAGCAGAGTGCCCCTACCAGCACCAGCTACATTAACTACGATTATCCATTAGCAAAGCAGCACATCCTGGATCTGCATATCATGATTGCTGGTCAGATTTCTAAGAGTGCTTTAAAGGTTGAAAAGAAAGCATGCAAGAACAGACAGGAAGGACCATGTTGAAACTTCTTTCCTTGAAAACTATATCGAAACATGACTAAGATCCACCTTTTCTTTTTTTTCTTAATAGGTATTGTCACCTGTAACAGCTTGACCAGAACATAGATTTTAACCCCACTGGGCTAACAAGCTGGATGGTAGCTCCATAGTTATAACATAGCCTAAGATAACTGGCCAGAACAGAACCGGAAGGGAAGATATAATTTTTATAGAATTAACTTAGTAGTAGTGGGTTCTGTGGGAAATGCCATTTCTGGGGAGATAACTGCCCTAGGGAGAGGCAGAAAATGGGAGTAGGGGCAAGCTTTCAAGCCACTTCAGCAAACACCTACAGTATGTCACTACAACACATTCCCCTGAGGAAAGGAGATCCACTAAACAAGCTTACTGTAAGTAAATTTATTACACACATAAGAAACCAAAAGTTCCTGTCAGAAGAACAGTTGAAGTGAATTAAGAGCTCACATTCAGTGAGGAAGAAACTGCAGCCAGACCATTTCAAACACCAGCAGTTGCAAAGTGGCAACGGAGCTTCAGAAACTCCCGGTGTTGGCTCAGGCGGGTAAGACTCCAACGTGCATCCCATCAGTTATGCCTGTTGGCCATTACTAGTAAAACACAAGGACCCAGAAGGAAAGATGATGCTATTCTTTTTTTTCCCCCCCTTAGCACCATCACAGTCTCTCCTTGAAAGAAGAAGATAGCTGCATAAAGACGTTGTTCAGGCATAGATCCCCCTTCCTGTTCCCCAATTATCTCTCTCTCCTAAGAGGGCACACAATACCATAAAACACTGTTAAATAAGGTTTTAGCGAGTCCTCACAGACAGCTTCCAGAAGTGAAAAAGCAAGAGGCATCACTACTTGCAGACATCATGGTCTCATTTTACTTAAGTTCTGATTGTATAAAGCAAAAAAAGAAAAAAAAACAGTTACTCATCAAGTTTTATTTTAAGTGATCAAGTGTATCGGTATTAGAAGCAATGACGTTTGTTTGCAACCATCTGATACCAAAGTGAGCATTGTGGATGCCTGCAGCACAACAGAAACAATACTCATGCAAATTTGTATCTTCTTACTGAAGCTTCAAGAGCTTTGGTAGAGTGCCCCGCAGTTCAAATGCTGGAGGTGGCTTTTCAATATAATTCTGTGATATGTTACACTGAAGGAGGGGCTGAGTTGTACATTAACATTCATAATGTTGATTAACGTTCATCAGAAATGGTTTCTCAGCTATATCCATTCCTGAATTGATCCAGGTCTCTACTAGCATAGGAGACAAATTTGAAAAACATTTTCACAAATGTCTCATAAATCTCTGAATAATAATAAAAAAAGTTAAAATTGCTCCCTGTGAATATTTTTCTCTAAACTCAGACTTTTTCCTTCACAAAAGCACAAAATGATTTGCTTTCTTATTACATATCTGTCTTGAAAAAAAAACCTAAGTTTTGGAGAAAGAGAAGTGTCTTTTTGTTGTTTTGTTTTTATTATTTTTAATCACAACAGAAATACATTAGAATAAAAAAAGGCAAAATGACCCACAGCAAATGCCCTGCTGGAATCTTTCTAGGGTATGAGAAACAAATGCTCTAAAAATATCCACCGAAAGCATCAGCCGGAATATTGCTATGATGTGAGAGAAAAGCGGTGCTCTGCTTCCTTCCGTACATACCAGGCCTCTTTCAAGTACTTCTGTTTCTCTACAAAACTTGTAGCAGGATGTGGCTGAAACCCCCCTCATCTCTCCCCAACATAAACAGAGAGCTCTAGAAAAAAGAGTTGGTCGCTATCCAAGTTCTCTTACAAAATGTGTTTTGATTACTCTTTGGAATCAAGGTTTCCCATGTACCTTCAACTCAGTGGCTCCAAGTATTAAAGGGCATGTCAACTGATGTTTTCAGGTCAGTTATTCACCCAATGAAAAGAAATGAGAATGGAGGAGGTTGGGACACAATAGTAACAACAGATATGTCTTCGAGGCATGAGGCTCTGTAGTGCAGACAAAACTCCCTGCCATACCAGCCTAGTAGCAAAAAGCATCGGGGTTTTCAAAGGAAGGGACAAATAACCCAGAGCAGATAGCTGTAGGGCTAGTTTGCACACTGCGAGTCTCTCTGGAAGGCCCACTGTGAAGAATTTATCCTAACCTTTGAAGTACAAGACTTCAT